ACCCTCCGACATCTTAATGCGATGTTTGTATATCTGACCTTTTTTTTAGATTAAATCTTCTGAAGTTCACCTTTATGTTATCATCTTTCTCGTTAAAGGACGTCAAAATCAAGATCGAGTGACGGAGCAAGCGATAAATCAATCGAGTTTTTTTTTCTTGTAGTTTCTACTGGCCGACTTGCTTAGGATTTCTACTGACTTATCCGTTTAAAGTTTCTATTGGCTTGCCCTCCTTGAGTTTCTACTAGCTTACCATTTAAGATTTCTTCTAGCTGTGACTATACTTTTTTGCTGACATCTTCAAATACCCCGGGCAAGGATGACATAAGCAAAGCTCTTGCAACAAGCTGTTTTATTCATTGTTTTTAATATCGCCGATATGACCCGATATATCGCCGATATGGCCCGATATATCGCCGATATATCCTTTAAAGGGCTTGCCGCAATCGATATGGTCTCTAAATATGCTTACCGCTTTTTGGCTATTTTAGGTGATATATTTCCAATATGGCTGATATATCAGCTGATATATTGGCTGATATGTCTTTTTATTGGGCTTATTACAAAATAATATGTCGTGTTTGGCAAGTTTTGGGTGAGATATCATGATTTTTCTATTATATCAAATGACATTTTGGCCTAAAAATCATACGAAATGTTGCAATGTTGATTACAAAATAATGTCGTGTTTGGCAAGTTTTGGGTGAGATATTTACCAATAGCGCCGATATTTCCCTGATAACTGTAATCCGATATGAATTTTTGCCTTTCGATATTTCTCAGATATCCGATATTTATAACCTTGGTCTTATTCCCATTTGTAGCATGCTGGGCACGTATATTATATTTGCTCCAGTTTGATGGGGGAGTGTTTGATATTATTGGTATTAGTAGATCTAGTAGATATTATGAGCTATTAAGGGGCATATGGTTCGGATACGGATCGAATATGATACTTACCATATGCGTATTCGCTTGCCAACCATGGATACTAATACGAATATTCTTCAATAAGAAAATTCATATCCATGCCCTCTAATATCACGGATACGGATATACATGCGGATATATATATATATATATATATATATATATATATATATATTTATATATATTATATATATGATATATATATATATATATATATATATATATATATATATATATATATATAGAAAAATGAGTATGCTTGGTACCAAACATAAATTTGGTGGCTTGATAGTTGGTAGTGAGGTGTCTCATTCCCATCCACTCATTGCCATTCTAACAACTGCGATATCCAGTGTGGAGTGTGGCCCCGCGATTTTAATGACTGGAGGAGAATATGCCACCTCACTATCAAACACCATTTTTTGTGTTTGGTACCAAGCATACCTATTTCTCTCTCTCTCTCTCTCTCTATATATATATATATATAATATATATTATATATATATAGGAGAGAGAGAGAGAGAGAGAGAGAGATATGGGTATGCATGGTACCAAGCACAAATTTTGTGGCTTAGTAGTGAGGTGACACAATCCGCCTCCACTCATTTAAATGGGGAACCACATTCACAATGGGGATATGCAACCATTTGAATGTGGAGGATATTATGCCATCTTACTACGCAAGCACAATTTTCTTGTGCTTGGTACCAAGCATACCGCAATTTCTCATATATAAATATATAATATATATATAATTATATATATATATATATATATATATTATATGAGCACAACACATGAGAAAACTAGATAATATTGAAAAATATTAGTTCATATGATACAAGAGAGTTCATTAATATGTTCGTTATATCTGTAAAAGCAAAGATTAGATCTCTTGATCATCAAATTAACGTCAAAATCATTAATCTAAGGATTAACATTGTTAAAACTGTATGACCAACACATGTTGGGATATTTTGGATACGGATTCTAATATTTCACTACATATCCATGTCCGTAACCATATTCTATCGGATAGATGATAGGGATGTGAATGGTTTTAAGGCTTTCTGTACCTCCTGATGGTTCACTGGTCAAGCTGTTTCAAGTAGACATTTGGTTCATTCATATCTCAGAATGATAAATGTAAATGATTTTACCTATGATCCTTGATGCAACCCTAGCATGTCACTGTATGTGCATTTGATCCGTCTCTCTATTGTGATTGACAAGTCACATATATGTGGATAAGTTTCTTTTGAAATTTCCTGGTAATTAGAAGTGGCATGTTGCAAAACTACCAATAGAATAAAGAAATAAGGCCGGCTTTTCATTCTCTTGTTCGCTCACCATCTCCACTGTAGTTGATGTCTAAACTGTTTGGAGATGTTCTTGTGAGTATTGTAGTAACTGTAAAAGGCACGATGTCATGTTCTATGTTGCACAGAATACAAGTACTAATGAACTCTCAAGTTGTTCCCTAAAGTATCAATTTGCTTATTTTCCTCCTTAAACCATGTATATATGCCTAATGTGATCATTTTATGAGTCTAAACTCAAATATTTAATAGATTAATGAGGTGAGAGTGTATTTTTACATTTATTGTATTTTTTTAATTTAAAATTATTTTTTTAACTAACAAAATGGGTTAAAGGGTAAAAAGTTTTGGGGAAAAAGGAGACAAACTGAAAAAAAACTCATGATGAAATCTAAAAAGGAGACACTAAAAAAACTCATGATGAAATCTAAAAAAACATTGTCATGTCATTGAGCTATTAAATATTTGAGTATAGGCTAACTAAATGATCTCATTGGACACGAATACAGTTTAGTGGGAAAAATAGGCAACTTGATACTTTTAAGGGACAATTTGAGAGTTCACAAATACTTTAAGGGGGAAATGATCATTTTCGCCAATAAACAAATAAGTTGTTTAGTGTTCATAAACATGTATGTGACTGACTGGGTATGCAGTTTAGTAAATACTGTCTGCTGCAGTGTAATATGATACAGATGTTTTCTAGCCTTCTATGTTACACAAACACATATTGACAGATACGAGCATGGACACAGACACATGAAAGTAATAAAACATGGATTATGGCTGCACAGCTCATATATATTCTATTAATATGCATTTAACGCATAGCATAATGAAAGCAAATTCTTCCAAATCACAGATCAATAGCAAGACTGATACATTAAAATTTTATTAAAGTAGGAAGTATTCTACAAAATGTTAACATTAGCAGCAATAGTATTTATTATGAATGTATTTGTTTAATTAATCAGTTATTCAGTACTGGGTTAGTGGTTACTATCTAAATTAATTACATCTTACTATCTCAACTAGAGAAGTTTCTGCTTGTGTTTGATTTCAAAAGATTGAAGTTTTAGATTGGACAGGGTAGATGTGTCCAAAAGATTGAAGTTTTAGATTGAACAGGGGTAGATGTGCCCAAAAAATTGAAGTTTTAGATTGAACATGGCTAGATGTGTCCAAAGATTGAAGTTCTATAATCTAGGACCATTGTTTTAAATATCCCCGACATGGCCCGATATATCCCCGTATATATCCTTTTATAGGGTTTGCCACAACTGATATAGTCTCTAACTATCATTTACCGTTTTTTGGCAATTTTGTGTGATATATCCCCGATATAATTGATATATCAGCCGATATGTTGACCGATATATCATTTTATATGGCTTATCGCAAAGCAATATACTGTGTTTGAAAATTTTGGGTGAGATATCATGACTTTCTCATTATATCAAATGATATTTTGGCCTAAAAAATCAAGCAAAATGTTGCAATGTTTATTTTTACTTTTATTTGTTTTACAAGGTTGGTTAGTGATCCTAAACACATATTATTTATATTTTGTATGTTTAGAGTTTATTAAGTATGTTGAGATTATATTTTAGTGCGTTATACTATATATACAAACATCCATTATGGCATTTCGATATTTACCACATATCCCCGAAATTTCCCTGATATATGCAATCCGATATGAATTTTGGCCATCCGATATTTCCCCGATATCCTATATTTAAGACCTTGTCTAGGACTAGAATGCTGTGTAATACTAGTATAGTCAGGATCATCATGGATTGATTAGATTGGAAAAGTTTCACCCAACAAAAAAATAAGAGAGAGAGAGAGACTTGCGTGGAGGCTGTTGAATTATAGCACCAAACAACGTAGGTTTGTTGTAGCCATTCATTAACAAGATGATTTTCATTTCCTTAGGTTCTTACTCTTTGATTTGTCTGTTATTGTTTATAAGGTTAGTTGCAGATAAACCCCCCGGTACTATCCCCCAATTGTAGATGGACCCTGAGCAAACTCTTTTGACTCTTTTACTGTCAGAAAATGACAAGTAGACCTTTTGAGGGTAAAAGAGTAAAAGAGATCGGGGTCTATTTGCAATTGGGCAATTGTACGGGGGGGTATATTCCCAACAATAGAACTACAAGGGGCTATCTGCGATTCGGTGATAATAGAGGGGGGCTATCTTTAACGACTTTTGGTACAAATTTGGCTTCTTACAATCTTTCAGATTCTTCTCACATGCAGAAGGATTGACCTTTCAAGCTCTAATTAATGTCTTCTTTTTTGCGTTTGTATCTATCTGTTGGAGGGTCCGGCATCTTATTGTACGAAATGGTATCTAGTCAATCCTAAATTATAATATTTACTATTTTCATGTATCCTCTAATGAACCACTATCTTGACATCATCTAAATGGGGTGGGATTAAATGGACTACCTGATCAATTTTGGTAGTTGCTTTTGAAAATGCTCAAACTGTTTAACAGTTGTTTTTTCTTTTGTTTGCCTCCCTATGCCAAATATTTTGGAAAAATGTGCTTACTACCCCTTGCACATTTCGAACCCCACTAAAGGATGAAAGGAAAACCCCCCTAGATTATCAATTCTATCCGATCTAATAACTTCCAGTATAACTTTGTGCTACCGTGAATAGATCTTTCACGATTTAATTGATTCTTTATGTCTTTCTTCAAGTCCATCAGTTTAACGATGATTTTAACTGTTTCTGCAGAGTGGAAAATCTTGTCTAGGTGAGATAATCTATCGCTACTTAACAGCTGATCAATTTTCTCCAGAGTGTCTCATTGACTGCTTAGACCTCTCATCGGAGCACCGTACTCTAGAAATAGCAAACAGGATTGAAGCGGCCATACATGTGTGGAGACTGAAAGACCTAAAAAGGCATCCTCTTCACACCAAGCATAAGAAATCGTGGGGAGGAAAGGTTAAAGAACTCGTTAGCCACCCAGATAGAACCCAGCTTCTGTCACAAAGGGCAGAAAGCCTTTTGCAGAGCCTAAGACATCGGTTCCCCGGTCTTCCACAAACTGTTCTTGATATGACCAAGATTCAGTACAACAAGGTATTTGCACTCAAGATGTTTCTCCTTTTTCTATTTCACTGACACCCTGAACTTTTTTTATTTCACATAATGCTTTTGAACTTTAGGCTGTCTCACAAAACCCTCCTAAACTATAATATTTTCTCACAGGGTCCTACCTGTAATTTGCAAATAACTAAAATCTCCTTGAGTGAAAAAAAAATTCCAAAATTGGGGAAGGGGTGTATGTTGCCAGGGAATGACAAATGACCAAATTGGGGATTTTTTCTCTCAAGGACATTGTAGTTACTTGCGAAATGGGTAGGGGTTCCGGTGAAAAAAGTTTAAAGTTCAGGGCGATTTTGTGAGACACAAAAACTGCACGAGGTTTCTTTCAAATTAAGCCAATAATTTCCTCCGACTAATTTAACTTTCATTTACAGGATGTAGGGCACTCCATTCTCGAGAGCTATTCGAGAGTTATGGAAAGTTTGGCTTTCAATGTAATGGCAAGGCTTGATGACTTAATTTATGCGGATGATGCAACAAAGAGGATTGTATCTACTGAAGAAGGCTCTTTATTCAACCGTGGAGGATTTGGAGAATTTCCAATTCAGAAGAGGATCTCACCGAGCCCGTTCTCCATTCAAAACACCCCATATGCTTCTCCATTTGCCACACCTACGCTTTTTTCTTCAACTCCTGTTACTCAAAGCCCTAGTAGATTGCAGCCTCAATCAAGCAAAGACGATGCTTGCGTGCAGCAAAATACGAAGTTGGCTAAACCGGTCTCTGGTGGTGCTGAAAAAAAGGTTTGGTCATATACAGGAACACTAAGTGCTAGCAAGGATGCAGGGGATGCTCCTGAAAGGGATTGATGTGTGAGGGTTAATTGCGGATAGACCCCTTGTACTATCAGCCAGTTGTGGATACAGGACCTGTAGTCTTAACTTATCTGATTTTTCGACCCTCGGAGAAAGAAAATTCTTTATTGACAAATAGACTGCTTGAGGGTGAAAGAATATTAAAAAAAAGCACATAGGAATCTATATGCACCAGAAGTGCGGGGGCTCTATCCGCTATTTGGAGATAGGAAAGGGATCTGTCTGCAATTAACCCTTGATGTAAATTGAGGGATTGAGAATGCACATGAAGCGCTGAACTACGCGCTATTCTGCGTAGAGAGCTGGTGTTCATTTCATTGGATGGGTTGGATCTTGTACAGCTTAACAAGTTAGGAATAACTTATTCAAGCTTTGCACTTGTTCTTCTTCAATTCGGTCAAGGATTTGTTTCACATGTTATTATAAATTAACTTTGTTAGGAGGTTACTGACGCAGTTAGGATTAGGAGATGGTTCGTACATTGTAAAGGAAAAAAATTATATGTTTTGGTTGACCTGTTTCTCACATCTAAGGTTTCCAGGTGATTAGCTAATGGTTGGTTTGAAGCAGCTTAATGATATTGCAGGGGTGCTAAGCAGGGAATGTAAAATTGCCGTCTTCTCTCTGGATCACAAAACAGCTGGTGAAATTCACTGTGCATTGCTTTGTAGAAAAAATAATGTTAGGGGCACACCCCCTAACACATCACCAACCACACCCCCCTCTCCTATCGCTACAGTAAACCGGGTCTCACATGAGATTTTAAAAATTTTAAAATCCCATGTGAGGCCCCGTTTACTGTAGCGATGGGAGAGGGGGGTGTGGTTGGTGGTGTGGTGGGGGGTGTGTCCCTAACACCACTCTTGTAGAAATGTGCTTCTTTGGTCATTTTTCTCTACAACTTTGGTTAATCCGTCTGCAGTTTTCGCAACAGATTTGATCAACATTATACAACTATGGTATGAAAAGTCTGCTGAATTCTCAAACAAAGCTGCGATGTCGTGAATCTTGGACCTGTCATTACTCAGTTAATGAGCTATGAGAAGCATCGGATTAAATGCTGTTAAAAAAAATATCTCGTATGTGGTCTCCCATCAGTTCACGAAGGGCATGTTAATCACCTCTCATTTTCAGTTTATATTTAAACCTTCTTTAAAGTGTGTTTTTGTTCCAATCAACCACAGGTAGCCAAATCTTCATTAAAAAACTGAAAATATCCTTAAATATACATGTTTAACGTTTATAACTTATATCCAAACAAGATCTGCTCATTAAAAAGTGAGTCAAGATTTTTAGTGCGAGTTATTTTTAAAGTGTGTACTTGGGTTTCTAGTGAAAATTTTGCTTGAGAGGTGGTTGACTGGAATAAAAATCAACTTTAAAGGTGATTTACATAGAAATTAAAAATAAAAGATGGTTTCTATAAAATGACTCTATATTTAAGGTGGTTTCTTAGGGGAAAAAACCGGGAAGATATTATGTTTTGTTGCCTCATAAGAAAAAGTATCCGGTGAGCTGTCCCTACTCCTGAATTTGATGATATGGTGTTCCTAAGGAGTATACAACTGTTTACTTTAATTAATAATTAATTTATTTTTGCATGCACCTGCTTCTTCCTCCACCGCCTCTCTCCCTTCACCTTCTCTTTGTTAAATTATTAAAGTGTATTTTTTTGTTTCTTTTTTTTAGCTTCTATTTTTAAACCAAAGTTCCCAAAAAGGTTGCATAGTCTGCATAGACGTGCAAATATTTCCTCAGACCAGATGGAGATTGGCCCTCGAGTGCAAAGGCATAAGGGAGCTTGACTGCAAGGCCCACCTGTCGAGCAGGGACGAAAATCAGCCTTAGTGATCAGACGGTGCCGAGTGGAAGGGCCATCGCTCAACGGATAAAAGTTACTCTAAGGATAACATGGTGATCTTCCCTATAAGTTCACATCGACGGGAAGGTTCGGCACATCGACGTCGGATTCAAACGTGTTTGATTATATATCAATACATAAACCCAATGCGAACAGGAAACCAAAGTTCAGGCCCAGCCTGACTCGCGGTCGACTGTAGAACCACGTGCGGTCGACCGGATCTAACGATAGAAACTAATTTTTATTACAGGGTTTGGACAGTCGACCGTCGTGCCACTCGCGGTCGACCGCGAAAAGTCCAGAGACTTTTCTAGCTTGCGTGCATGTTTGCGGTCGATCGCCACGCCACTCGCGGTCGACCGCTGGAAGTCCAAAGCTGTTTTTTGTTAATTTTACTGTATTCTCTTTAATTCTCCACCTTGGTGAAGTTTTCCCAAAACTGAGCCGACCCCAAACGAAGAGCACCAATGCGTCGTCTCTCCAAAATCGGTTGTACCAATCTGGTTGCCTACGTACCTCCTTTCCCAAGGGATCAAGACACACATAGTTCATCCAAATGGCTGTCAACGACCTTAAGAATCATGAATGTGCAACAAGTTTCGACAATGATCAAACTTGTTGCTCGGAACCAGCTTAGTGAGCATATCCGCCGAATTATCCTTCATGTGGACCTTCACAATCTCTACATCATCATCTTTAAGAACGTTCCGAATGAAGTGATAACGAACTTCAATATGCTTCATTCTCGTATGAAAACCCGATTCTTCGCCAAATAGATAGCACTCATGCTATCATAATGAATAGTAATGGACCTCTGCGATCTACCAAGTTCCTTCAAAAGTCTCCGAAGCCAAATAGCCTTCTTCACAGCCTTCGTAATCGCCATACGCTCTGCCTCCGTTGTAGACAAAGTCACCATAGATTGTAAGGTGCATTTCTAACACACCAGTGCATGGGTCAAAATGAACACATACCCTGTCGTAGACCGACGCTTATCTAAATCTCCGGCATAATCTGAATTAGCATAACCAATACACAACTACCCGCCTCTAGTGTCCGGCTCATAAACCAAACCAATACTGAGCGTACCTTGAATGTACCTCAAAATCCATCTCATGACATCCCAATGATCCACTCCTGGATTGTGCATGTATCTTGAAACCATGCTCACTGCCTGTGATAAATCTGGCCTCATACATACCATCGCGTACATCAAGCTCCTAACCACGCTCGCATATGGAGTCTTCGACATCAACTCTCGATGTTCAACTGTCTTCGGTGAGAGGTCAGCTGAAAGCTTCAAATGGGCTCCCAAAGGTACACTAGCTACTTTCGTATCCATACTAACATGAAATCACTATAGAACCTTCTTTGAATAAGCCACCTGTGTTAAACAAATTCTGCCATTCTCTTTGTCTCTGCCGATCTCCATCCCCAAAATGCGCTTAGCCTCACCCAAATCCTTCATCTCATACTCCTTTGAAAGTTGTGCCTTCAACTCATCTATAGAAGACATGGAAATGGAGGCAACTAATATGTCATCAATATAGAATAACAAATAGATATACGTACCTCCTTTCAACTTATGAAAATACATGCAAGGATCAAACTAGCTCCGAGTGTATGAATGACCAAGCATAAAATTATCGAATCGTCTATACCACTGTCGAGAAGACTGCTTCAAACCGTATAGTGATTTCTTCAACCTACAAACCAGGTTTTCCTTCCCTGTAGCTCGGAATCCCAATGACTGAGTCATATATATTTCTTCATCAAGATTACCATAAAAAAATGCTATCTTCACATCCAACTGTTATAACTCCAATCCATATTGTGCCACCAAAGCTAACAAAATCTAAATCGAAAAAATGCTTCACCACCGGAGAGAAAACATCATTATAATCAATACCTTCCTCTTGTACATAGCCCTTCACAACCAACCTAGCCTTGAACCTCAATGGAGTGCCCTCAATGCCCTCCTTCTTCATGTACACCCACTTACAACCAATTGCCTTCCTCCCCTTTGGAAGTTTAACAAGCTCCTATGTATCGTTCTTATGAAGAGACTCCATCTTCTCCTGCATAGCCACCTGTCACGAATTAGCCTCCGAACTCTGCTCGGCCTCTTTGAATGTAGTAAGCACAAACTCATCGATACTCTCCACCGGAAGTGCATATACAACTACTATGTCGGTATACCATGCTGGCATCCGTATGTCTCTCCTCTTTCTCTGAACTGTAATAGAATCCTGAACCTGAGCCGTCGGTTCCTGATCCTGCACAACTGTACTCGTATCATCATGCTCACCTGGCGTCACCAAGTCAGCACTCTAATGGATACTATATCATCTGGATAATATGGAGCTGCATCGATCTTCACCACCTATGATATCTCCTCCATCGGGTTGCTCTCCACCTGATGAGAGCTGAGAAGCTTCAAGATAGAAGCCTCATTAAACGTGACGTCCCTACTCAGCACAATCTCCCTATCAATTGGATCTTAAAGCTTGTATCCCTTGACACCATGTTTGAATCCTACAAATATGGTCTTACTAGTTTGAGGTTCCAACTTATCAGTTTTCACATGATAGTATGAAGGGCACCCAAATACTTTGAGATGATCATAACCGTATGCTGGATCTCCCGATCACATCTCTATAGGGGTCTTCCCCTCAATCGCAGATGAATGTAGTCTGTTAATAAGGTGGTTCGCATATGAAAGTGCTTCAGCCCAAAAGATCTTCTCAAAACTACTATACGCCAACAAACATCAGATCTTCTCCAGTAAAGACCGATTTAACCTATCTGACACCCCATTTTGCTATGATGTATGACTAAATGTGAAGTATCTCTCTATGCCCTCGTTTCGACATAGCTGCTGAAAGGGGTCTGATGTGTGCTCATCACTGTTGTCGGATCGTAACGTCTTGATCTTTCTCCCAGTCTACAGTTCTAACCTCTTCTTCCACTCCACAAATATATCTAGAACTTCACTCTTCTTTGGCATGGTATACACCTAACAACGCCTAGAATAGTCATCAACGAACGTGATGAACCAATGTCGACCACCAAGTGATGTAGTCTTGGTAGGACCCTAAACATCTGTGTGCATATAATCCAGGATGTCCCTCGTCCTATGAATGGCTATCCCGAACTTTATCTTCATCTTCTTGCCAAGAACACAGTGCTCACAAAACTTAATTTTTTCACTCTTGACTTCCTTCAATAGCCCCTGCTTGCACAGAGCCTGTAGTTACTTCTCTCATGTGTGCCCCAACCTGTGGTACCAAAGTCTGCTAATATCCACCTCTGAAATAGCTGAAGCAACCTGGCCAATCTCAGTATTCCCCTTCAGATAATATAAGTTCCTACTACGGACCCCCTTCATCACCACCAAAGATCCCTTAGTAACCTTTGTTACAGCATCCTCAAAGATCACCTTGAATCCTTTTGCCTCCAAAGCTCCAACTAAGATAAGATTCTTCTTCAACTAAGGAATAAATCTTACCTCCTTCAATTTACGGATAACTCCGTCGTGCATTCGAATCCTCACGGTACCTATCTCACAAATACCACAGGATTGATCATTTTCCATGATAACAACACCTCCATCGAGTCTCTCAAATGATAAAAACCAATCTCGCTTAGGAGTCACATGATAAGTAGCGCTAGAATCAAGCATCCAATCTGATGCATCCAAGTGGTTCATCTTCA